ATCAGTGAACAACTGCCTCAAATTTGAAGAAGATTGGACAAAGTATGACCATTCTACAGTGTTTCTTCCATGAAGAGATCCAGGCGGAGCTCTAAAAGGATAGTTGAAGACCCAAATGGACACATGTTAACCAAATGATATTCTGACACACTAAAGGTGTTTCTCCCTTTATATTTTGATATTATAGTATTTTCCTTTTATTTTTAGCTTTTGCAAATTGCAAAAACTATATATATGGTCGAAGACGTGGTATGTGAGTAGCGGACTTGCTGTGCGTAATGGCTGCGGCCGAGCGCACGATCGAGTATGAGGGTAGCTCAGTTACGCAAGGTTATACGTTGGTTGACTGCTTATAGAAGAGGATGATAAGGTTTGTACTATAAGTACTAGCGTTTTCTGATGCCACTAGCGCCATGGTAACATCCGCTAGCACATTGTCGGGTCTGTAATGTGTCTTTTTCCGTCGAAATGCTGCAAGATCCGACTTGCAGCGGTTATGGCGACTTTGGACAGTGTGTGTTTGGGCTCCTTTTGTGAAAAATCCATAAGAAATGAAAGAAAATCGATGATTTCTTTGTAAAGATGAGGATTTTGGGCATGCTGGGATACCAAACACGGCCATGTTTTGTGACGTGGTTTGCGCAAGCAAGCCGTAGGAACGGAAGGGGAGGGGATCGAGGACGCCGGCGTCCTCACAGAGTTGAACAGGCAAAACCCTTGTCAAATAAATGAGATGATACAATGTGATGATCACAAAGACATTTATTTATCATGTGTATGTAAACCTGCATACACAACAAGAAGCCCAACAGGCTTTCCCACGAGCGTTGGATGTTTCGTCACCAGGTGTCGCTTTATTTTTGAAGGCTTCAGTGCTTCGTTTGATAGCATTAGCCCACATTCCACACACTGAGCCCTCGGCTCTGCCTCGTTGCCTCCGTTCACAAAGCCGTACTTAAGAAAGTCAGGATTGTACATGCGCACACATTTAGACTTTTTTGGGGGGGGGGGGGTATGGCACCACTGTGGTCTTCATTTTTTCTTTTTAAAAACTTATCCATAACTTCCGCTACAGGCTAGCGGCTAGCTGAGTGTCTTCTTCTGCTTATTGGAGCTTGTTAAACAACTGACTGACGCATTACCGCCACCAGGTGGTGGGAAGCTATATTGTAACTGAGCGTCTCATGGATAACAGTAATATCTCTGGTGTCTTCAATTGATAACCTATGCGGTCCAGCGGCCCACAGGTGCAAAACTGAAAGTTTTTGCGGCCCTCTAGGTGGCGCTCGCGGCCCAATCGTGGTTAAGAATCACTGCCATGGTTAAGAATCACTGCTTAAGATATCCCAAAGGTCAAAAATGTTGCTATGATGTTTCTCAAGTTCTTGGTGTCGTAATTTGGTATTTTGGCTGGATTTTTGTTGATTTAATCGATTCCCCAGTGGTAAACAATGGTTAAATCGTGCGCCAAGTCCATGTAACAAATGGTATAATTGCTGCAGCAACATACGAGACATAAGTGAGCATTGGAGTGGCCATACTTAATGTTCTAAGCTCTTAGAAAATCTAAACTTTCAACATTTGAATGGAAGCCTTAACAAAACACAATGTTTATTATAGATGTATGACTAGAATGACTAGATGCACACAATTTCTATGTGGCATACACTGTTGACCTGCTATCTTCCCTAAAGATCCCCTTTCCCCTCTAAAGAATAAAAAAGGGTCTATGTGGGTCTCTTGGGTTCAAGAAAAACGACAAATTGTAAATAAGAATTTCTTCTTAATGACTTGGCAAGTTAAATAAAGGTTAAAAAAATAATAATTTTAACTCACTCAGGTATGAGCATATAAAGAGTTGTGTGTCATCTGCATACCAGTGGTATTTGAAGTTATGAGTAATAATGTATCCCAAAGACAGTGGTGGGCCGTCAGGGCCTGCAAGGCCTTCTCTGCTGGCCTAAACAGAATCACAAAGTTATATCTATTTTATAATTTTTCTTAAATACACTACATGTATTATCATTTATAAAAATATTTTACCCATTATCTTATTTTCTCATTGCACAGCTACTGTCTTCCTCAGTTGCTCTGCTTCCAGTGCAGCTTGTTTTAAGTAGAGCTTTTATCCAATCAGATTTCACCTCTGTGTCTCTATGTAAGAACAGAGGCAGAGGCCTGCAGAGTCTCAAGTGCATCCATGTGCAGTTTAAGTGAATGGGGACGATATTGTTGATTGTCATAGTGTTCAACCAATCAGATCTTTAGTTTGACATGTTGAGCGTATTCTTTGACGTGCCAGAGCCTGCGAGCCGTCCTATAATGACGTCAGCATTACGTGCCGCTCAGTGTCCATGTGCAGCTCTGAAACTTAACAGCAGAGGCTGTCGGGTAGTGAATCATATCACGTGATGCAGCTCAGCCAATCAAATATGGGCATTCTGACTGAGTGAGATCAGATGTACCACACACCATGACACAGGGGGCTGAGACGAGGAAAGACATTGCAGAGCAGTACGTTCAACGTTCAAGTTGTGAAAGTAAAATCCTATGATAATTTCTTTGGGAATTTCATTAAGGAATGACAGTGGATCCCACAGCCAGACCAGATGAGAACATTATATTTTCCTGAATTTAGGCTTTTGCATTTTCTAAATGCTCTAGCATTATTCAAACGACTCGTACCGAACGGTTTAATACGAAGACGTACATAGTTACAGCCTTAAAAATGAATAATAGCTGTGGCGCGATAATGTGGTTATAAGGTGGTATTTCAGCTACAGGACAGCAGTGAAGGCCCAGGTATAAAATGCACGGCCCGCCACTGCCCAAAGAAGCTTGTATAAAGAAATAGAACAGGGCCCAGAATGCTCCCTTGAGGAACTCCATATTAATGTCAAGATTAACGTTTAAGCCTCTGATCTGGCGCCAGGTTTTAATGTTTCTCTTTCAACCCTGTGATCAGGGTCTGAACCTGCGGGTCGATTATCCGCTTGGCGTCTCAGAATGCTATCTGTCACACTGGTGGGGAAAACGTTTTTACCTAAAAAGTCTACTGCTGTGTTCATTTTCTCAGTCCTGGCCATTGATATCGACCCGGTGCGGTTGGACTGGGCTCGGCACAACGCTACGGTTTACAATGTCGCCGACCGGATCGACTTCCTGCAAGGGGACTTCCTTCAGCTGGCCCCTCGTCTCCATGGCGATGTGGTCTTCCTGTCACCACCATGGGGAGGGCCAAACTACCTGACCGCTGAGGTGTTTGACATCAAGACCATGATGCAGCCTGAAGGATATCCTTTGATGTTAGAGAGTTGAAATTTGCAGTAGATATTCATGGTCTCGGGAGGATACTCCTCTGACATTTAGTCTTGTAACATCAACTGGGCAAAGTTTACACATGTCATATGTCATTGTAATGGACAGATTGTCATTACATTGACTGATGATGTAGCGCTGCCCTCCGCACAAAATGCCAGCTCTATACACAATAAATAACACCTTCATCTTCTCAATCTGAAATGCAGCTACGATTGGAAATGTTTGAAAAAGCGGATTGTGTTTATATCAGATAATGGTTTTCATCCTTAACGGTAGACACATTTGAGATTTTCCGCCTGGCCAAACTGATTTCAGACAACATAGTGTACTTTCTGCCTCGCAATGCTGACATGGATCAGGTCTGTATGTCCAGTCTGGATGCATGAGTGTTCAATAGGCTATTAGATACGGCATAACAACATAAGGATCTCACCCGGGCGAGAACCTGGGAGGTGTGTGTGTGTGTGTGTGTGTGTGTGCGCGTGTGTGTGTGTGTGTGTGTGTGTCCACAGCTAATCTCCCATTCTGATATCTTTTGTGCTAATTTATGACCATATGCTCAAGAGCCTCTTGTGGTTGCAGTGATCCACAATTTTTGAAAAACCTTTTTTATAGACTGTTTCGTACTGTCATTGTCTGTTGACTCCTCGCTGCTCTTAATTGGTCGTTGGGGGCCGCAAGTGATCAACAACTACTTCAGTCAGATTTGCACACCTAGGTTAGCCCTGAACGTTGGTCCAGTGCTACACTTGATCTTTCTATCCATCAACATTGATCCATATGATATATGATGCTCAATGGAGCAGTGCTTGGTGTGTGAGAGTAGCGAATGTGTACGGTTGAGCTCAGGGCAGACAGGTGCTGGCGAGCAGAGGGATCGGTTGCCAGTGAAGTTGTCAAGTGGCAGTAAATCTACAGGTTACAGTTTCCCATGAATAAAGATGAATAAACACTGCAAAAATACTCTTCAATACCCAGCTGCCCGGCAAAAGTGAAGGGAGAGTCTGTGGGATTACAAACCGGTCTCTGGACCGAGCCGGACAGCAGCACACTCGGCTCAGCTTAGGTCGCAAAATGTAGATAAATATATTTATTCAGCGCCTTTTTAATGGGCATCAACCTCACGTTTACGCACATGTTGTCTAAAAAAACCACACCTGATCTGCTTCTGTTTAGACAGGAGTCAATTGTGATTTGTATTCATTCAATCAAACATTGCCGTGGAGATCTGAGTGCACTTTTCTTGTTCAAAGAAAACCAGCTACAGCAGCACTTATTGATAGAGGTCTCCAAATTCGGAATGGTGCATCTGGATCTACTAGTGACATATATTGTACCTCCAAAAATGATTCTGTATCGAATATCGAAGTCATTATTGTAAATAAAAAAAAAAAATTGCAATTGATAAAAAATCTGAAAAGCATGTTCCAAAAATAATTATTCTAAATTGAATTATCAGAAATGGGCATGGTTTACTAGAAGCAGCTGTTTGAAAGCCTTTGTTTTGTCCAAGATTTCTTTCTCCCTTACAAATTGTACAGGTGTTTCTTTAACAGTTTCCGATAAATATTATATTATATTATATTTCTATTATATGTATAATATATGGTCGGGTTTAACTGCATTAAGCAGCAGCTTTGAGCGACTGGAGCGACCCCCGTCTGATGGTACATTATCTCCATGATCTCTCCACAGATCGCCTCTCTGGCTGGTCCAGGAGGGAAGGTGGAGGTGGAGCAGAACATCCTCAACAACAAGCTGAAGACAGTGACCGCTTACTTTGGCAGCTTGATAAAGCCCGACAGCGAGTAACCCTACGACACGTGGACCAACGAGGATTTCTTCCTCCTTTAGTTTTTGTACTTTTTGTAATTACACTTTTGTCATAATACGAGTGTGAAATCTTTCAGACTGTTATTCTGTGACCACCCTGCATGGTTGCGTTAAAGGAAGACTTCACTCCCAAAATGTTCATTCATTTAACAATGTGTCACCTCGTCTTCCTTGAATTCTTGAAGAAAACTTTTTTTCTCGCATGCGTCCACGGTGAATGGAGAATCCGAAAAAGGGAGGAAAGTCTAGATGAAAACACAATTTTGGAATAATCCGAGTCCCACAGTAGCAGGCCGGCACAAGCGTGAGAGCGTTTATGCCGAAGTGTTTTAAATAGTAAGGTTTTAGCCAAGATGCATGTGTTTATGAAGGAGACTTTGATTATATTTCATTACATTTTGTGGGTGAAGTACTTCTTAAACTCAGGTGTTTCTTAGTTTTATGTATTCTTCAGATTAAATGTCCAGTATGTGGGATACGGCGGCATCGAGTGGTGATGTAGCAGATTGGAACAAACTGAAACTTCTACCGCGTGCAGAACTACATAGGCCCGCTTTAGAGCCGATGTAGCTCGTTCAAAAGTAACGAAAACACGATTTTTATTTTCAGGTGATTATACACAAAAGAAAACAGTCTTGTTGCCAATAGATTCCCCCATAAATGCTACACACTGGCCCTTTGAGGTAAGGCTTTAAAAAGACTGGAGTTTTACAAATAACAATTGAACTCTTTTTTTTTTATTGTACATTAGAGCGAATAAATATTTTCCACAATGTTGATTGTCATCTTCATTTTTGATATGAAAACATGTCATTACACCGTTTAGTTGGAGGGAAGTTAAAAAAACAACACAATAAGGTTAACATTGGATGATGTGACGAGTAGCCACCTTAGAATAGGAGAGTAGGCTGCCAAAAGAGTACAGCGGGTACGGAAAGTATTCAGACCCCTTTAAATTTTTCACTCTTTGTTTCATTGCAGCCATTTGCTAAAATCAAAAAAGTTAATTTTATTTATCATTAATCAGCACCCCATCTTGACAGAAAAAAACAGAAATGTAGAAATTTTTGCAAATTTATTAAAAAAGAAAAACTGAAATATCACATGGTC